TGGAGGGCACAGTGGCTTGCAGGAAGAGGGGGCGCTGGCCGTGGGGCAGCACCGGGTTGTACATCAGCGGGTGGTGCCGAGCAAACTGGATCACGTCATCTGGGAAGTCCTTGGTGGAGCCGAAGGTGCCGAAGGTTTTGCTGGGGCACTGCGGGGAGGTGGTGCTGACTGAGCGGGGTCTCGCTCCCCACCCACCCTGGGTACCAGCATCCCACCAGCGGCACCAGCTGGGACACCCCTGTGCCACCTACCATGCCTGGGCGGGGGTACGGCACGCGCCCCTGGTATGACACCCACTGGTAGTTGGGACCTTCCTTATGTGCGAAGGGGCCCAGGAAAGCCCGGCGAATGTCAGCCATGGTATAGATGCAGACGGCGGAGCCCTGGAAAACGGAGCTGGCGGGAGAGAGAGTAGGCTATGTGAGGGGTGAGGGGGGCACTGCCAGGCATGGAGGGAGAGGTGGGGAGGGGGCTCAACCTGGACGTGGAGAAGACAGCGTAGACCAGGGGGTTGCGCTTGTCCCTTGTCTGCAGCAGAAAGACATCCCCTGCAACCCAGGAGGGCATCAGCATCGCCCCAATGTGCCAGGGCTGCCCATGGGCACCCTGGGGTCCACCCACACCCCCCCCACTCACGGAGCTCATCAAAGTGAGTGTCCGCCCCGTCTGGTCCCGGCACAGCACAGATGAGCCGAGCCTTCAGGAAGGTTGTCCACTTGTTCACCAGACTGCGCTGCCCACCCACATCGTTCTGCCAGGAGAGGGAGGATACTGATGTTAGCAGCGGTGAGTGGCACCCATGGGCACCCCCATACTCCAGCCCACTTGCCTACGGGTGCTCTCACCCGGCAGATCTGGCCGATGCGGGCAAAGCTGGTCTTGCCCAGCCCCTGCTGCCGCTCCACCGCTGTCTCACGGAAGAAGAAGTAGATCTTGTCATCGTCGGGGTCCTCGCTCTCCGGCACCCAAAAAACGGCCACGAACTTGGGCTCTGAGGGCAGAGGGGTGCTGCCTCCAGTGCCCCTGATAGCTCTGCTCCCCAGGGCAGAGGCAGAGCAAGTGTGGGACCCCATTGGGCACCAGGGGTCTGCGGGGGGCACAGGGACCCCCCAAATCACCCTCTGCAGGCAGCGGAGGACAGGGTGCAGCCAAGCCTGGAGGACTCATTGCCCCAATGCCTCCAGGGGGTGCCGGCGATGCTGCTGCCGTCCCGCTCCCTGGCACTGACCGTTGAGCCAGCGGGAGTCGTGCTGCTCAGTGCGGATGGAGGGACGCTGGCCCAGGCTGCGGAAGATGGTAAAGTCACGGCCCATCAGATCAGTGGCCACCCCCGAGTAGAGCTCCTCTCCTGGCAGGCACCGAGGGAAGTGTTAGAGATGACCACCTGGCACCCCCATGCCGCACTGCCCCCCAGCACTGGGCTCCACTCTCCCTTACCCACGAGGACAGAGGCAGCTGTATGCCGGGGGTCGTAGGGGCTCTTCCCTTTGCCGTCCTCAGCCTGCTGGGCATCCAGCTTGAAGACAGGCTCCTGGAGCGGGGTAAGAACAGGATGAGGGTGTGTGACGGCAGCTGAGGGCCATGGCGGTGCTGGGGGCAGGGGCTCACCTCTGCATGCTGGCCAGCCTCCACGAAGGCGCAGACGGGATGGAAGGCACCAGTGCCGCAGGCATACAGGTGGGTGCGGTTGTAGGGGTGTAAGATCTTCACAAAGTTCATGCACTCGGCCTGGAGGCAGAGGGCACAGGAAGGCGGAGCTGGGGCAACCCCCCGGAACCCCTTTGGCACCCCCCATCACCCCCTGGCACTCACGGTGATGTCCTTGCCGGCCCAGTTGCACTCCTCCCTCCACTCCACTGGTGCCGGCCAATAGATCTGCGGGGGGAGAGGGGGACACTCACAGCCCTGGGATGCACCCGGGGCCACCCAGCTGGCACATGTGTATATTGTTGTGTCCCCCCTGCCCCGTTACCTTCCTGTCCCGATGGCTGATGTTGTCCAGGGCCAGGGACAGGACATGGTTCTGGGCGCCGGCGAAGAGGCGGCCGCGCTCCTCGTCTAGCAGCAGGGCCTCATAGCAGCATGACCGCTCCAGCGTGAAGAGGCGCAGCCCGTGG